GCAGGACCCTGCACTTGCCCTTGTTGAACCTCATCAGGTTCCTCTGCGCCCAACTCCCCAGCCTGTCCAGGTCTCGCTGAATGGCAGCACAGCCTTCTGGTGTATCAGGCACTCTTCCCAGTTTGGTGTCATCAGCAAACTTGCTGAGGGTACACTCTAACTCTTCATCCAGGTCATTGATGACCAAGACTGGGCCGAGTACTGACCCCTGGGGGACACCACTTGTTACAGGCCTCCAACTAGACTCAGCACCGCTGATGACAACCCTCTGAGCTCTGCTATTGAGCCAGTTCTCAATCCACCTCACTGACCACTCATCCAGCCCACACTTCCTGAGCTTCCCTGTGAGGATGTTATGGGAGACAGTGTCAAAAGCCTTGCTGAAGTCAAGGTAGACAACATCCACTGCTCTCCCCTCATCTACCCAGCCAGTCGTGCCATTGTAGAAAGCTATCAGATTGGTCAGGCGTGATTTCCCCTTGGTGAATCCAGGTTGACTACTCCTCATAACCTTCTTTTCCTCCACTTGCTTGATGGTGACCTGTAGAATGAGCTGCTCCATCATCTCTCCCAGGATGGAGGTGAGGCTGACCGGCCTGTAGTTCTCTGGGTCCTCCTTCTTGCCCTTTTTGAAGACTGGAGCAACACTGGATTTTTCTCCAGACTTCAGATGAATGTCTGGTCTATACTGTGGAGAGATAGGGTTAGAAAATGAACCTTCTCAAAGATTATTATACCTTTTGAGGTTTGAGTCTCAGCTCTGAGTGAATGATTGTCCCCTGTTAGGGCAGAAATGCTGGGTTTTACCATTTGTCCTAAGGACTCTGGGACATTCCTCTTCCCCAGTGCAAATGGCACAGAAGCCCTGTCTTTAGCAGTCCCCATGGGAAGTTTGGTTCTGTAATGAAGGCCTTTTCTTCTAATTGACACTGTCAGTGTCTGTCATGTTGATTAACGATCAGTCTTCAAGGGTCTGTATGGAACATTCATTCCTTCTGAGAAGTGGAATTGGCTTTACACCTGTCGTCACAAAACATTCAAAGGGAGCAAATTTTTTGTCTAATGATATTCTCTGTAGTGCTTTTCTAGATCAAAATGACCATATACATGCCTTTTTAAAAAAATGTCGTGTATCAGGGCTAACTATACTGCCCTTATCCTTCCTGTGGGGGACAGAAAGCTACACAAATACCTAGGGACGTAAAATCTGAACACAACAGGGTTGGTTGCTCTCATTCGCTCTGACTTTGTCAGTGCCGCTCTGTGGTATTGAGCCATGATCAATTGCTCACCTACATTCCAAAGAAAAGAATTGGACTTGATACATGTTATTTCAGCTGGCAGCTACAAGCCTCATATCTCTTTTCTCTTTTGATGGTGTGTCAGCTGGCAGTAACTCTGCTGCAGTCTGGCTTGTTCTTTCTCCAATGTCCTTTTCCTGTGTGGCCATATTCCACAGACTAACAAAGTTAGCACTTAAAGTGTGCAGAGGAGCTTCCCCACTCACCATTTTCCTCCCCCCCCCCTTGTCAGGATGACACCAGTGGAGATTACAAGACAGCCTTGCTGAATCTCTGTGGCAGTGACTGACAAAATCTCGGAGGAAGACACTGAAATGGATACAGAGGGAAAATTAACAGTGGGCAAGGGTCTGAAAATGTACATGTAGAAAATCTTTCTTTTGATCCAAGTGGGGAGAAAAAGAACAAGTTGACGGTCAAGATTTCTGCGTTCTGAAGGACATGGATGCTCATTACACATTAAAAGCTATTAACTTCCCTAACAGTTTTTCAAACAAGTGAGAATGTTTCTTTTTTGTTTCTTTTCTGTTTCCACTTCGTTCTGTGCAATTTCCCTTCTCTTTTAACACACTGGCACTTAACATAAAATTAAAGTCTTTTTTGAGTCATTGAGCCCTCTGAAGGCGTTTCACAAATCTGAACAACCCTGCAAAGCTCCTTGCTAACTTGACAAGCTGGTACAGCACTGACCAGGTGATGCTAACAGGGTGAGTCTGGAAGGAGGCCCAGATATTAATGGGGTGTTAGGGCATGGAGATTTCAGTCCTATGGGAGCTGGTTTAGCAGCCTTTTCTGCATTACTTCAGTGGGGGGTCCTCAAGGAGCAGTGGCAGAGGCAGACTGGCTGTAAGCATGTGAAAGTTGAAAGCTGCGTGCCTGATTTCCTTCTCTCTTGTGTGAGTGTCTGCAGGGGGAGACCAGCAAGTTCGGGGTGTGACATCAATGTCAGACAGTGGGGAAATTAAAACTGGGCCGGATGGTTTGGTTTTGGTGAATATAGGATAGCCTGCTCTTCGGAGCAGACCTGTTTCTGCTCCTAGCTTCACAGTAACTTCACAGAGGTCAGCGGACTCCCTTGGAAAATCCCCCTCTGCCACCCTGCATGACTGCACCTACCACTTGCCATGTGAGGCCCTGTGGGACTCAGCTCCACCGTTTTTGTGATGTCTCAGAAAATTTGCCACCTTCTTAACTCTCCCCTAGCACGCCAGCTAGCTACAGGGGAAGGCTTTCTATATCTGCAGCCTGACTGGCTGTGGCTGGCTAGCAACTGGAGAGTCACTGACCAGACAGGAACTAGCCAGCAACAGGACAGTGGGACAAAGCTCACCAGGAGTAGCCGAGAGACCACACCTTGGAGACGCACAGGTTCAAAAATGATTGGTGTAAAAGTGACTGGTTTAGAGGTGACTGGTGCAAGGTGATTCGTGCAAACTGATCATCCCAGATTGGCTTGGATATAAAAGGATGCTTTTTGAGACTATGGGTGTGCACCCACTACCCACTACTGAGAGACTGCAGCCAAGTCATCAACGAAGGACCCGTGGGATGCTGCGGGATCCAGGGTGGTGACTTTCCCTCTTTCCTTCCCCAGCCCTAATCTATCTCTCTCTCTTCTCTCTTTTCTCTTTGTTTCCTTCCTTCCTTCTTCCTCTTCTTCACCCCACTTTTGTTAGACCGTTACTTCCAGAGTTGTTGTGAATAAATCATGACGTTGGTTGGTTTACCGTTATCGTGCCTCTGTTGTGCTTTATCTAAACTCAAGGATCACAAATCTATTTTGTTATCCATCGGGTTTCAGGAGGAAGTACTCTATCTGCAGGCAGGTAGAGCACCCCATTGTTTTTTGTGGGTGGGCTCCGCGAGGGACTGACGTATTTTAGTTCACAGGTGGGCTCTGTGAGGGGCTGACAGCATTTTGGTTTACAGGCAGGCTCTGTGAGAAACTGATGGCATTTCAGTTCACAGGTGGGCTCTGCGGGGAGCTGACTGCATTATTTTCCAAGTTAATGTCGTATGACTGTGTGAATGAGACGTACAAACAAGTACGAAGCGAGTGCGGAGCTCTGATCCATTGTTCTGCTCTCCCATGAGGGAAGAACCGTAGATGAATGAAGCTTAAGAAAGGAGTGAATGTTGATCTCTTAAACAATTATCACATTGTTGTTCTATACATCAGAACCCGACAGGCCCAGATTTGGATGGTGATACAGAAGGAACAGGATTAAATGCTTTGAGAAGCTCAGGTCTGCCTGGACCAATGATTCTTCGCACTTAAAGCAGCTCATTTAAATGTGTAATTACCGAAAGTCATTGTGTTCAGAGAAGCAGCTTTTTTACTGATTGAGTGAGTGAATTTTCTGGCAGAGGGTTGGTTCCTTCCCTGCATGCTGAAATGAGCAGGAACCAGTGCAGTGAGAGTGGTGAATTCAAGAAGTCTTAGGGAGTCCAGGACCCAAAGCTGGGGCCAGGGTATCTCCATCCCTCAGGTAAACATAAAGAGGAGGAGATTTCAATCTCTGATCCTTTAAGTGCTTTTGTTTTCAGTGATTTCTCAACTGGACTAAAATGAGTTAGAGGCATGTCTGTAGACTGAGCATCAAGGGGAAGTTCTTCACTCGGTTTTGGGGAATGTGGGCTGGCTCCAGGCATCGAAGGACCAGAAATCACATGTGCCTTCTGATGGACAGAGGGCCCACTTGATTTTTCGGAGACCCACTTGTTCACTTTGACAATGATGATCAGCCTTCCCCTGTTTTTGCTTAAGAGCAGGTTCAGGCGCCGATTTTTAGAGCGCGGCACGCCGTGACCGGGCGTGGGATGCCTGCTGCAGAGAAAACCGTGCTTACACCACCATCTTGTGGGCGACAGCCTGTGTGCAGCCCGGACGGCGGGACCGCGAAGGGGAGCCCCCCCCCCCTCGCCTCCCCGAGCAGTGCCCAAACGCCTCGGTCACAGGACAGGGCTTCAGCGGGGAAGACGCAGAACAGCATCCCATGGGGTGGGGAGATTTGCTCCCCTTTAAACAATGCACACTTTCCCTCCCAGCTGTTTTAACATCTGTAACGAAGGTGTGCATTTGCTGACAGGTGTCACCTGCGTGACTCCAGTTTAGGGACTCTCACTGTGCAGCCCCCTAGCTCTGGTATGGCTAAGAGGCTCTGCAGAAATGCTCTGTGAACAGATCTGTGTGATGAGGCTTTAGTAAAAATAAGAGCCATTCCCTCAATTTTTTTTCCCCTGGTATTATTTAGGAAAAGGCAAATGGGAATTTGTAACTGCCTAAGCATGGAGCATGAATGATTTATATGGTTGTACCCACAATATCTGCATCTCCTGACGTTGAACAGATAGAAAGTGAGAAGTGATCCCAGCTTTGAGGAACTTAAAATCTGTCTAGACAAGCCTAATAAAAGTTCAGGTCTTCAAAGATACTTTATTTCGGAGCTGTCTGTTGACCTAACTGAAACTTTAATGTTCATATGGTCTCGGCGCTCCGATTGTTATTATTATCAGATTATTCAGGTGAAAGGTTGGCTTTACCTGTTGGCCTGTGCTTAGCGCAGTGGGTTAAGTTTCATTGTGGTCTCAATTTATTAATAACAGCTTTGGAGATGTAAGGTGAATTGCCTTCAGAGGTGAAGGCTCACAGGAGATCAGTAGTAAAGCTGGGAAGGAGGAAGAACTGAGGGAAGCTGATTCTATCACCATAATTGCTGGGAAACAAAACAATTGTAAAACATCAATCAAGATTTAATTACATATTGATTGCTGCTAAAATGTTGCCTGGGTGAACAGGTGCTTTAATAAAGTGCAATTGATTCCTAAGCTCTTCTAACCAGTCTTTTCGAAATGCAAATATTGGTTTAGGGCCTTTCTATTTCTTTATAGCTTAATTAACATGATTTTATTGCACAGAAGTGCTCAGCAAGGAAAAGGTAACAGGGTCAGTGTAAAAATGCCCAGGACTGGTGCAGGTCTTCTGCTGCCTCTGTGCTAACCTTTTTCCACCTCCTGTGCTGCAGGAAAACCTGCACAGGGAGTCTCCAGGGACTGCACTAATGCCACCTTTCTGTGCCTCCCTGGGTGGCTGCTCTGTGTCCTCGGACACAGCACACATACGGCAGGAGCTGTGCTAACCGGCAGTGTGGGGGGGTGGGGCGCAGGTACTTCAGCTCTGTGCTCAACTGACACGCAGTTGTACATAGGAGTACTTGACTCCAACTACTAGCTCTGTTCCTGACACCTGGGAAAACTGACAAAAATCTATTCCAGGTATGATGCCAATGCACATAAACCATGTTTAACCCCTGAAGGCTCCCATTCCAAAGAAAGCTGGCTTTACATTGTGTTGCTTAATTCTCCCAACATCTCAGTGCAGATGTGGCCTGAAACCCAGACTGCTGACCACAGGATCCCCACGCAGTGGCCAGCTCCAGCTCAACAGCCTGCACCACCCAGGGGTGCCTCCATGCACTGCTGAGGGAACCAGGAAAATTGAACATCCTTCTCAGGTGATTTCTTCTTCCTCAGAAAACATTCCGAAGCATGGGGAAATGGGAAAGAGGTCTCTCGCTATGACCAAGACATTTTCTGTTCTATTCTTCCACTTCCTGGCAGGAACATTTTTTTTTTTTAACCTCATTTTGAACCCTTAAATATCTTTTATGCAAAAATTACTCCAAACTGTTGCAAAATAGAAATGCAAATGAAGCCAAACCTACCCAATCTTTTCTTCTCCCCACAAGTCACAGCGATGGGATACCTCTCAGGCAGAGCCTTTGCTTTTTGGAGCAGAGGGTGAGTTTGCCAAAACACAGGATAGCACAGCTTGTGGCCCAGGGGGGAAGGGGATGTGGGTCATGCTGGCATGGATGTCCATGTTAATTGCTCTCAGGGAGGCTCAAAGGGAGAGCATTCTCATTGCTGGGCAGAAGGGAGCCTTTCTGAATGGAAACTGCTGGGTTTTTTTTTTATTCTTAATAAATTACTGATGAAATAGTATTGATTTATTAACATAACATGCTGCAGTGAGGAAATACTGTCTGCTGCAGGCATCCAGATGCAATAATGGATTCTCCTAGTGTTGTGGCTTATTGCCTAGCTTTCTTGAAGGAGCTTGTTTTGCTGGCAAGGTGGCCATCTGAAGACAAAATTGTCAACCTTCCTCAGGACCTATTGGATGATACCTCCCTTGCAGGAAAGATAGTACTAAACTGTAAGATGCTGAGATAAGGCTATGCCAAAGACATAACAGGCTTTCCTTCAACTTCTGCCCGAATTCAAACG